GGCTCATCTCACCATCCTTCTCGAGGCCAACGGAATCGAGCGACACAGAGAGCTCTTTAACCAATATCAATGCTTATGTGTCATGGCCGTGGCGGATGGCGAATCCCCTGCAATTGCAGCAGTTTGTTCCACAGATAACCTTGGTTCTTCAAGATTGGAACTCATCCGCCGAATCGAGCTCGAAGGCGACCGCCTAGCCTGGTAGCCCATGCCGCGACATTCCGCGTGATCTGGGGAAAGGTCGATGAATCAACAGATGGAGGCATCACCGATGACCGTGGAGTAAGAAAGAACCTCCGAGTTGCCCTTGAAGAAGGCGCTGATCCAGCAGATAACATGGAGGTGATCGTCTGCCCTGACAGTCTAGCTGTAGCACAAGCATCCACCACTTATATTGAAGCTGAACCAGTGGATGCAGAGGCATTGTTCCACGAGTGTCCGACATTCCGGACCGGGAGTTTGAACGACTGCAAGCGCATGCACATGCCTGAACTTCGAGTTTGCGCTTTTCATATCAATGCCCATGCCTTTCAGTCAGGTATTACGGCCGGTAAGAACGCCATTATGAAGATTTTGATTACGGCCGTGGCAGACCAGGTGGACGTCATCGCGTGCGATGCTAATCAGTTCACAAACCGCAACTTCCGGGGCGATCGACACGCCGATCCGGCGACCGGAGCTGTCCTCACCATCCTTGACCAGATCCTTGTTTCTGCGAACAAGAAGCGTGAGCCGAGCAAGCGCATAACCGAGACTGGGAGGTCTCAACCCTCGCCAGTGAGCAGCTCACCGCTTTGGAAGGTCTGGATGCCGATTGCGACTGCATGTTGCAGATCGCCTTAAATTACGGCAAGGACATGCATACGTTGCGGGCGAGAACATCCGATACTCCGGATGATCGTGGACGTGTTGGATACGAACAGCCTCCTCGTCAGAAAGAGACTACCATAAAGATTAACGAACTCCTTAAGCATTTGAATCATCTTGATCTGTGTTTGAAGAGCAGTGACTTGGGTTATCATCTTGATCTGTGTTTGAAGAGCAGTGACTTGGGTTATCACCATCCATTCCAATGTAATTTTTCACTTGCCAGTCGACACAAGATCAGAGTTCGCAGCCAGGTATCCGCCGTGAACCGTGGCGAGAAGAACGCCGAAAGACTTGAAATGTTGAAGGAACGGTCTCGGCAGAATAAACAAGCTCGCCAAGCAGGATGGGACTATTCCTGGCAGCCATCGGACCGCTGGTCCTCGGGCGCATCAAGTTCATGGTGGTATGCCGGTTCCTCCTCATCATCTTGGAACCCTGGTTACCGAGGATACAGGAACTGGTAGGTAGTCTCTGAAAAGCCGATATTCCGGCTGGACCACAGCTAAGTGCCGGAAAGCTAAATGCATATTTTGAAGGACCCAGATACATCAAAACTAAAGGCCCTATAGATTTGATTTCGACTTAACGATTTGACTTGAAAAAGAAGATCTCCGATATTACGGAACGTTCGATGCAGCAAGTATGCCTTTCGTAGATTTGTAAAGATTATCTGACGCAACCTAGATGAGCCAGACATCTACGGTCTAGTTCTGCGAAGACAGAACTTCTGTAATTCATTTGCATCTTTTTGCTATCCAAGCTTTTGTACTTTAGAGATTGTAAGCTTCGACACGAAAAAAATTTGTGTTTGGTAGGGTCCTAGGTCCCCCTAGGCGTGTCTACGCTATACGTGTGTAGCACCTGTTCTCTTGTATAGATTAGTCTGTAGCTCTTCAGTCCGCTTTCGACCTAATTCATTTGGCTCAAGACTTAGTAGCCCAATACCTGCATCCGCAGCCATAGAAAAGGTGTGCATCGCTGCCGCTCGCACACCGATCGCATTCGCGTGACTCACTTGGTGTTTCGATCAGGTCCAGTTAAGCAACTGCCACTTCTGGGGGAACTTACCCCTCACCCCCCCCCCTCGAATTGATTTTTCAATACAGACCCCCCACCCCCGCCCCCTTGGAATTGATTTTTCAATACAGACCCCCCCCCTTCCCCCCTCTAAAATCAATTCTCTCCTGGAGAACGTCTTCGTGAGCCTCTCATGATTTCAGGATAGTTGAAACCCTCTTGAACATTCAGAAAGAGTTCATATGAAATTCTAATCACGAAAGGTGTTCCCCGAGGGGATACACACCTAGAGTTTGTTCTGTGAAGCACGTCAGTTCTCTCCTGGGGAGCGTCTTCGTGAGCCTCTTATGGTTTCAGGATAGTTCAAATCCTATGATGTTCCGATTCAATGCTCACCGATGATCTGAGCCATGGGGCAAGTTTGTTTTCCTAAGAATCTTTTTGAACATTTCGAGAGCATATGTTTGAACATTTAGAGTGCATATGAACATATATTTACGAAAGGTCGCCTCCGAGGGGATAAATCACCATGTCGAACATTGCATTTTTGTTCCTGCCTCTCGCGTTCTTTTCTCTTCCCGCTGTCCTACCTTTCGTGTCTCCCTCCTCTCAAGTGAAAACACAAATGAAAAGGACATCGGGCAATGAAAGCACATAGCAAAAACATGATAAGACAAATGAAAATCAGGCAATGAAAACCAAACGCTAAAATAATGATAGCCAATAATGTGAGTAAAATGAAAAAATAGTTATTTTTTATGTTCCAGTCCCTGGCTGGCCAAGATGGCCATAAAGGTAGTACTGAATGGCATCGTGTTGGGCTTGGCTTTCATGAAGATCCCAGCCAGGAAGAGTCACTGGTTCACATCCTTGCCAGCCTCTGTTCACAACCATGGCCAAAGTCCATGTGCAGATCTCCAAGACCTTATAGGGTCGCCGTGGCACCGTGCGGGCTGGTGGAGGCATAGGTCGTGGAACCGGCTTAACATGGCTTAACCTTCTCCTTCTCAGCCACAAAGCTTTCAGAGATCTCCTTCACATGATGACGAAGGTGCGACGCTTGCCCTTGGTCATGGTAGCCATCTTGCCGACACGGCTCCAAGAGATCTCTTGATGTGGCCCATCTTCAACTTCAGAACCTGAGGTGGAGAACTCCTCATTGGAAACACGGCCGCATTCATGAGAGGTGGTCGACACATCAGACTCAGACCCCTCAGACAAAGAAGACTCCGGTACGGAGAATGACATCTTTACCAAGGGAACTTCCGTCGCTTCCATGTCTTCCACCAAGTCCAGCACCTCCGGCAGCTCACTCTCTGAGCTTCGCTCCGAAAAGTCATGGCTTGAGACTTCACTCTCACTGTCAGTTTGATCTTGCGGCAGTTCATTCTCACCGGTGAGAAATGCGAAGGAGTGCGGCTGTGACAACAGTTGCTGACGAAGTTCCTTCAACTTAGGATCTGATTGGAACTGCTCCAAAGGACCGTGTTGCAAGAGGTTCAAAACAGGATGGCGAGTTTGAGCTAGTTTGAGTGAGGATCATAGGTTGAGTGCGTCCAAAGGCTTCCATGGTCTTGTTGCCAAAGTGAAAGACAATCTCCCACCTTGCCATGTCAGCAGGGCCAACTAAGCCTGGACAGTCGGATGCATACTCAACCTCTGACATGCGAAGCCACGTGTTGACACCATGGAGACCGACTGGGTACAAATGAGCACACTTGGAGGTGATATATAGGTGCTCCAGCTCCAAACTTGAACACCTCACTCTCAGGCACCGTCTCCCACTGCAAACCACTTGTGTGTCCATGAAACCAGCCTTGTACAGTCGATTGCTCGGCAAACCGGCCCATATAATTTTGCACTCCTCACAAGCGCTGCGTTCACCAGGAGCACATCAATTGTGGAACGTCACCCTAGAATGGGCATGCGCGTGCTCACCAGCAAAAACATGTTAGAGTTTGCCACAGCAAAGCATCGGTGTAAAGTGTAAAGAGAGGGCTCCAGAAGACAATCTTAGTGTGAAGGATGGGACGGTTCATTTAACCCTGGACAGTTGCATAGCATCCAAAAACGATAGATTTCAATTGAGGGAGTTGCCGGTCTATAGGGCCGGTCACTGTTCTCGGAGCTTTTGTCGTGGAAACATTGCACGAAACAATCATGTTGAATCATGTTGGAAGGAAGCGCCCTGCACATGTTTCAAAGTTCAGCTACAGATGTTTCTGATGTGGCGTTTGGTTTGCTGGCCTCGAGTTTTTGAACCATGAACTGAATCCGACACCAGCCTGACGAACTCCCAACATCGTTTTAAGGATTTTGGCTTGAAAAGAGGAAGGAGTGGACAGTCTGCACTTCTTTATGCCTTTTCCGTCCTCCCCAAGCAACACCTGTGCGCTCACGGCAGACATGTCCTAAGGTGGTTTAACACCGACCAATGCGAAGGTCTGAAAACTTTAGTCGAACAAGACAAGCGCCGCTAAAGAAGTTCCGCGCACAAATCACGATGACGACTTGCGTCCCCGATGTGGAACCTGACATTGAAATCAAAGCTTGGGCAAAACTTGCGGAGAACCAGGGAGGTTGCTTTGAGGCCCATCAGCTTACATGGCAAAATGCAACGAACATCCATGAACACAGAAGTTTTTGCGCAATGTCCACCCATGCGATCTCAGCGGGGTTCCACTTCCCACCAGTTCGGCTCTATGGAAAGTGAATGTCATTTAACCTGATCCGTGATCCGTGACTGATTTTGGGCATAGCATGACATTACATGCTTATCAAAGCAGCGCTGCAATTATAGGTTTGTATAGGAGATGAATGCAGTTTCATACAGTATCTCTATGCAAAGGCAAAGGTCTTTAACTTTTGGTAACCCTTTTCAGCTAACCTGCGTATATTAATAACTTGCCGGACATAGCAGATTTGCGATGGCATCGCTTGCGGAACTTTCAGGTTTCCTTGTATATATATATATATACTGTATATATACATAATCCGTGGTGGAAATGCATAGCGAGGACGGATCGCCTTGCTGCCTTGAGGTGGACAGCCTGACCACCCGTCATCACAGCTGATGGCACCAGCTAGCAAGAGAGCGTCCTGGACATTGCCCCATGCCGCTGAAAAGAAAACACAGCTACAAGTCAAAGACACAGACAGGAGTTGCAGAGCATTTGGTACTTTGGGCTGTTGAGGCAACACAGGCCGCGCGTCAAAGCCTGCTCAATGCAAAGTCAACAGGTTCCATTCCTGAGTTCAATGCAGCGTCAGCTCGCTTTGCTGCTGTCCTTGAAGAACTTCCAGAGCTTTGGCCAGAGCTGAGTGATGAGTTGATGCAAGCGGTTTGGCTTGGGTTTGATGAAGCAATGCGAACTCGCTTGGCGGAGGGCGCTGCAGGGTCTCTTTTTGGTGGCGAACGCCCTTGCAATTTACCTCAGCTTCTTTGCTTGATTAGCCGGGCCCTAACAGATGAGGGGCGATACTGGACTGCGAGAAGTCTCTTGCACAGAGCGCGGCGGGTGGCTCAGAGGCATGGGATCTCTGAGAGTTTAGTTTGTGCCAGCCTTGCTGATATGCACTGCCGCGCTGTGCCCCCTTGGCATTTCCATATGCTTAACGACCAACCTCGAAATCAGGCCTTTGCTGCGTCTATTGGGGATGCTTTGAGAGAACTGGCCGCGAGAACAGCGCGAGTTGAACCAGTGACATGCTTGGACATCGGGACAGGGACAGGGCTGTTGGCCCTGATTTGCCAGCAGCTCGGCTCTGAATTGGGCATGCCGAAGCTGCAGATTCATGCATGTGAAGAGAACGAGTTGCTGTTTGCAATGGCTTCAGAGCTGATAAACAGTGCTCAAAGCACAGGCCAGGTCCTCAGTCACCACGGGACTTTGGTCTATTGGACGGCTCAGTAGAGCAACCTTTCCACGCCAAAAACTCCAAATGGTTCAGATGTACCAAATGACAAAAAATGTTCAGCTTTTGACTCTTGACCCCCCATGCACGACATGAAAACAAACCACACCTTTTCCTAGGTGCTGACTAGTGACTAGCGTCTTGCAGAATCCAAGAAACATGTGCTTTACGCGTGACTGCGCGCACGTATGTATGTTTGTGTCTGTCTGTCTGTCTCTGTCTTTGTCTCTGTCTCTGTCTCTCTCTCTCTCTCTGTCTGTCTCTGTTTGTCTCTGTTTGTCTCTGTCTGTCTCTGTCTATCTCTGTCTTTGTCTCTGTCTCTGTCTCTCTCTCTCTCTCTGTCTGTCTCTGTTTGTCTCTGTCTGTCTCTGTCTGTCTCTGTTTGTCTCTGTCTGTCTCTGTCTGTCTCTGTCTGTCTCTCTCTGTCTCTGTTTGTCTCTGTGTCTGTGTCTGTGTCTGTGTCTGTGTCCGTGTCTGTGTCCGTGTCCGTGTCTGTCTGTCTGTCTGTCTGTCTGTACTCCATACTGGTACTTTGTGGAAAGATGCGTGCCTCCAACTGTTTTTGAGAACTACTGTAACATGACATGCCAAGAATGTTGCAAGATGCGCCAAGGTCTAGAAGAAAAGGAACATGTGTTTTTCGCGCAAGTTGAACTGAAGGCAGGGAACTTGTAAAGCAAGGCAGCTTGAAAGCGTGTAAGATGGGTGACTGATGGAGATGGATTCTGAGAGATGGTGATTGCAGGAAGTGAAGCCCACTGTGATCCTTCATCGTGCCAATAGCCGCAATTTGGAAGTCCCGCCAGTTGACCTCATCTTTTGCGAGGCGAAAGCATGATTTTAAACATCAAGAGTCGAGAGGTCTGGGAGTACTGAGTACTGCTTGTCACGAAAGCTAGCACCAGCTAGCTGGAGTTGTCCTTGCTTTAGCAAGTGAGGGGCTGGAATCCTTGAGATCGCCGCATCACGTGAAAACTTCATGTGTAGAGGGCCCCCCCCCCCGCCGGGTTCAACTCCCCCCTGGGAGCTAGCTTTCGTCACCTACCCTCGGCCTCAAGTGTTCTTTTCTCAGGAGGTCGGTTCCAAGCCTCTGAATAGGATCCCTCAAACAATCTTGAGCAGTGTCGTGCGCAGGCTGTGGATGCAGAGCTTGTGGGCGAAGGTTTCTTGCAGAACTTTGGCAGCTATAGCTGCATGGATCGGTTCTATGGTTCAGAATTTGTGTTCATCATATTCAGCCGCAGCTAGCTACAGGAGTGCATTTTCCGTAAGGCAAAAACAGGTGTTCGTTGTATACATATATATATGATTATATGTGTTATAGTATTGTTTTGCTATTTCCTATGCGCTTTAGAGGCATGTGTTTGTCTATCCATGCTCAAGTTTTCTGGAGTTCCTGTTTGGTCATTGTTTGATTTGCTCTTGCACCTTTGATGAAGATGCACATGGAGATGTCATTAGAATATCAACTTCACAAGTCTACTAGTCGCATTGCTCATGGCCTTCGCATTATTGTTCCTTCGGGAGGCCCTGCTGTAAATAATCTGATGTAGCATCATGAATTGCTGTCACGAAAGCTACTAGCTGGAGTTGCTCTTGCTTTAGCAAGTTAAGTGACGGGGTGGACGCACCTCAGAAACCTCAAATAATTGATTAAATCAATCTTATGGACCCCCCCCTGCGGGTTCGACTCCCCCCTGCGCGCGGTGAGCGGGACCACCAAGCAGCTGCAGCACGCCAAGCATCTGCAGTCTACCACCAAGCAGCTGCAGCTAACCACAAAGGAGCACCAGCAGCAGACCACCCAGCGCCAGCAGCAGCAGCAGACGACCCGGCGCCAGCAGAGCACCCAGCGCAGCAGCGCCCATCCCTGACGACCAGACTCTCGTTCACCCCCTAGCTAGCTTTCGTTCACCCCCTCTGGCCTCAAGTCATTATATGATAAAGCGGAACGCGTTTTTGGTTGTCATTTCTTGTCGGCTCACTGAAATCCTGTGCCCCTCCAGGTCCTGCTGACCCCAAGTGCCGCTCATTTCCAATCGGACGCCCGCGAAAGAACATATTGTTGATAGATGGGGCGCCCGTAATGTGCCCGTGAGACGCATTTTTCATGAATGTGGTCAACAGCTGGAGAGGAGTGTGGCCGAACAAATAGCGATGTCGATGCAGACAAAAATCATTGATGAAGCATTTTACTTCTACCTTGGGGGGGGAAGGTCGGGCGTACCAAGAAATCGTTTTTGACTAACATTGGTCCAAACGAATCGTTTTGAAACTGTTTGCGGTCTAGAGTCTACGCTGGTATAATCCCCAATCCGATGAATTCCCTGTATACCTTTCTTTAGCAACTGAACAGGAATCTTTATTCACGACGCACCTCTGGCGCTGGACAGACAGTTCTACTACACCCCATAGCCAATCTCTGCCAACCTCTTCTGTCTGAGAGAGCACGGCTCTTTCCGGGAGGGGACGTCTGCAGAAAGCGGCAGGAGCTTCTTCTGCAAAGCCCACCTGCCATTGGAAGCGCAAAGCGGGTCAGAGAGTGATGTGGCCAAACCGCTTCGAGAACCATACCTGTCATATCTGCCAGTGTGCCAGGCCTTGGGAAGCAGTCCTAGTAGGGCGAGATGTTTTGAGTTCTTTTTTGTGGGAGGTTTTTGAGGTCTTTCTCTGTGGTGCTGCTCGGTCACTGCTGGTTTACCAGGGTTGTGTGGCGTGATGGAGGGCTGCCATCGTTTTGCGCTCGTATGTCTGAACTTCCGCTTTCCCGCCTGTTTCCTCCCACCCCACAAGACTTGTCCAGCCCAAGCACAAAAAGTCAATTCAAGAGGGCAAAAGCGCAATATCGAAATCAATCGAGAAAAGCTAACAGCATACTGATGAACCAGATTGATAACCCCGTCCGTTGGGTCAACATGTCCAAACTGTCCAGGGTATCACTGCTGTGAGCGTAGTGGCGTAGTGTCCTCCTTCGATACTTTTTTTTTTGTGAATCCTATTGAAATCCCTTGAGCTCCTGAAGACGTTATGTTGTTGCATATGTAATTTAATCAAATTCCTTTGGACTTCAACTTTGTGCCCTTATTTTTCTTCAGGTTGCTATTACTTTGATTATCTTTGAACCGAAAGGCTTTCGACACTCAATTTTCAATTTATCAATTGTTCTTTAGGTCTTTATTTGTTTTTTTGACTTCAACTTCAACTTGCTTTATCTGTGATGGGGTCGGTTTACCTCATTCAAACATGGATCCCTCAAAACACTTAAAGTCACCTGAGGCATTGTTGGAGCAGCCTTTGTTGAGAGAAATGACACTCTAACTCTATACAATCGCCTTTAGGCCCAATGAAGGAGGCTTTTCAAGTGGAAATATATAAGTCTTCTTGCACGGTTCAAGAAAAGTCAGGACAGCACTTGATGCCTGCGAGCGCTTGTTGAAGCCAGATGGCCGTTTGATTCCATCCAGTGCCACCCTTTTTGGGCAGCTAGTTGAATGTCCTTGCCTACAAGCCCGTTTTGGTTGTGACCATTTTCAACTCACTTCTGTCCAGCTTCGTGAGAACTTTGTGTGTGACTTTTTGGAGAACCTCGAGCACAAGATTCTGAGTGGACCAGCAGAATTGATGCACATACCCTTTGACAAGCCGAAAGACCTGAGATGCCAGTTGCTTGCTTGAGTGCAGTTGTTCACGAGACAGGTAAACAGGGAAAGGGAAACACCTTCGAAAGCAGACAGGTGCGGTATATTGTATCCTCCCCAGTTTCTCACTGGTGTTTTGTGGTTGGTGCACTAGCATGGGCCCCAGTTTGTCATAATACTTGTGCTTCTTATCACAGTTTCAGCAGCGAAAGGATGCAGCATCTTGGGCTAATCTATGCATACACTCATGTGGTTGTCGATCTAAAGGTCCTAGACAGCATTGTGTATGACGATGACCCGGAACATATCAAAATCTCTTTTGACGAAAGTGTTTTCTCGAGTTGGCGAATGTATTTCTTTTCGGCGAAAGATCTGGCGAAAGATTAAATATCTACTCTTGTATGAATGTTCATTTGCTTTTTGAACAGCTGGTGGCAGTGACTCAGAAGTTAGATGAGCTGTGGAAGTTAGATAACCTGCTGCTGCTGCGGCTGCTACCACTACCACTACCACTACTACTACTACTCCTCCTCCTCCTCCTGCTCCTGCTCCTGCTCCTGCTTTGGGGGGGTGGCTTTCAAAACTCTACACCGCAAAAGGCGAAAGTTTGGCGCAAGTTCAGCTCAAGATTGGCGAAAGTTCACCCTGCCACATCTGACCCCCAGCCCATTATGAGTAAGTTTGAGTGACCGGCTACTACAGTGATTCTTGCAATTTTGATTCTTGCTGACACCCAGGAGAAACAAAAGAGACGTGCAGGGTGCCAACAGTTTAGTAGAAGACACATGCTGACAAACAGTGAAGTTTCTATTTTGTGTTTGCCAGTAAAGACGAAGCCATTGACGTGAACAAAATACATGGCGCACATAAATACAACGTACTTCGGCGAAAGATAAAGCGCAGGAAGGCGAAGTTTGGCTAAAGTATTTTTTTTGCGAAAATGACGGATCCCGGATAAAGGAATTTAGATCAACTCCCATGTAGTATTGATATAGGGTGAGGGAAAGGAAACTCTCATTGACAAAGTTCTGTGTTGATCACGAAAGCTAGCTGTAGCTAGCTGGAGTCTGTCTTGCTTTAGCAAGGAGGGTGGGAGCCCAGGACTTGAGTGCTTTCACCTGATATATCAGGACTACACCCCCCCCCCCTTCGCGGGGTTCAACTCCACCCTTCTCCTCCTCGGTACCTGCTGCTGCTGCTTGGTCGCTGCTGCTGCTGCTGGCATCTCATCTGCGCCTGGCTCTTGGCTGCTTGCTGGTTGCTGCTGCTTGCTGCTTGCATGCTTGGTGCTGCTGGATGCTCTTGGCTGCTTGCTGGTTGCTGCTGCTTGCTGCTTGCATGACTGCCTGCTGCTTGTTGTCTGCTCCGTTTTGCTGCTGTTGCTCTTTGGGGTTGTTGGCTGCTGTTGGTGCTGAAGAAAGCCTATTTGTTAGAACCGAGAGTAGTTGCATTCCCTCTGAGTCGTGAAACGATGCTAATTTCATTATATCCTTAAGAAGCTTGTACAGGCATGCACCCACCCCACAACCCAAGAGTACAAATCAGAATGCACTATCCGCTATCCATGCAGATCAAAAGATGATACTTACTTCACACATGAATGACAGAACCCAGTCAGATGTTTGAACGGGCTGTTTGCTTCACTCATGGTAGTCCGCGTTCCATGTTCGAGCGACAGGGAGCATGCACAAGCGTTGCGACGGAGTCTTCGGTCGCTGACACATGTTCGCATACAACCCCTAGATGTCAATCATGCACACCGCTGCTGGCTGCATCGTCAGCATTTATTCGTTAAAACAACAGATATATCAGATATATCTGTCTTTCCACGTCGCCCTTCTACAATTACTCAGGCAGCGCCTATATGTGCTATTTTTCGAGACCAAATGTTGGGGCACGAAAGACTCTAAGGAAAGCTCACTCTTTCCCTGCTGCTGCTGCTGCTGCTTGGTAGCTGGTGATGCTGCTTGGTAGCTGCTGCTGCTCCTGCTGCTGCTGCTGCTGGGTAGCTGTAGCTGCTGCTGCTGCTACTGCTGCTGCTGCTTAGTAGCTGCTTAGCTGCTGCTGCTGCTGCTTTGTAGCTGCTGCTGCTGCCGCTGCTTGGTAGCTGCTGCTGCTGCTTGGTAGCTGCTGCTGCGTGGTAGCTGCTGCTCTGCTGCTGCTTGGTAGCTGCTGCTGCTGCTGCTGCTGCTTGGTAGCTGCTGCCGCTGCTTGGTAGCTGCTGCTGCTGCCGCTGCTTGGTAGCTGCTGCTGCTGCCGCTGCTTGGTAGCTGCTGCTGCTGCTGCTGCTGCTGCGTGGTAGCTGCTCTGCTGCTGCTTGGTAGCTGCTGCTGCTGCTGCTCTGCTGCTCTTGGTAGCTGCTGCTGCTGCTGCTTGGTAGCTGCTGCTGCTGCTTTGCTGCTGCTGCTGCTGCTGCTGCTTGGTAGCTGCTGCTGCTGCTGCTTGGTAGCTGCTGCTGCTGCTGCTGCTGCTTGGTAGCAGCTGTTGATGCTGCTGCTGCTGCTTGGTAGCTGCTGTTGATGCTGCTGCTGCTTGGTAGCTGCTGTTGATGCTGCTGCTGCTGCTGCTTGGTAGCTGCTGTTGATGCTGCTGCTGCTTGGTAGCTGCTGATGCAGCAAATGCAAATGGACTCATCGTCATACAGACAGACTAGACTGCCGACTTGCCGCCCGAAGTCACCAGCAAAGTTCGGCTGTCATGGCCCCGACATGTTTTGATGGCCTTCACTCTTGGTGGCTGGAGAGCCGTAGTTCATTGTTTTTGAGGATTGCACCCCCAAATGGAGATAAATCCTTTGTTTCATTGGGCGGCTGCAGATCAGCCATGGTGTGAAAGGATAAAGGTTGCTTATGCTGCTTCTTGCGCTGCACACAATTCCAGCCAAAAAATCAATTTTACAACAAAGGGCATTTAATGATATGGGCGGCTGGAGGGCCACAGAAATTTTGTAGGAAACTTATTGGCTGGAGAGCCAGAGAATTTGCCGGCTTGACAGGCTGAGAATTTGCTGGCTGGAGAGCCGGAGGGTGATGGTGGCTGCTGCTGATGCTGCTGCTGCTTGGTAGCTGCTCCTCCTGCTGCTGCTGCTTGGTAGCTGCTGCTGCTGATACTGCTGCTGCTTGGTAGCTGCCGTTGCAGCAGCAGGAGCTTGGTAGCTGCTGCTGCTGCTGCTTGGTAGCTGCTGTTGATCTTGGTCTGCTTGGTAGCTGCTGTTGCAGCAGCAGGAGCTTGGTAGCTGCTGTTGATGCTGGGTAGCTGCTGCTGCTTGGTAGCTGCTGCTGCTGCTGCTGCTGCTTGGTAGCTGCTGTTGCTGGGGCTGCTTGGTAGCTGCTGCTGCTGGGTAGCTGTAGCTGCTGCTGCTGCTTGGTAGCTGCTGTTGCTGCTGCTGCTGCTGCTTGGTAGTAGTTGCATTCCCTCTGAGTCGTGAAACGATGCTAATTTCATTATATCCTTAAGAAGCTTGTACAGGCATGTGCCCACCCCACAACCCAAGAGTACAAATCAGAATGCACTATCCGCTATCCATGCAGATCAATAGATGATACTTACTTCACACATGAACGACAGAACCCAGTCAGATGTTTGAACGGGCTGTTTGCTTCACTGATGGTAGTCCGCGTTCCATGTTCGAGCGACAGGGAGCATGCACAAGCGTTGCGACGGAGTCTTCGGTTGCTGACACATGTTCGCATACAACCCCTAGATGTCAATCATGCACACCGCTGCTGGCTGCATCGTCGGCATTTATTCATTCAAAAACAGATATATCAGATATATCTGTCTTTCCACGTCGCCCTTCTACAATTACTCAGGCAGCGCCTATATGTGCTATTGTTCGAGACCAAATGTTGGGGCACGAAAGACTAAGGAAAGCTCACTTTTTCCCTGCTGCTGCTGCTGCTGGGTAGCTGCTGCTGCTGCTTGGTAGCTGGTGGTGCTGCTTGGTAGCTGCTGCTGCTTAGTGGCTGCTGCTGCTGCTTAGTAGCTGCTGCTGCTTGGTAGCTGCTGCTGCTGCCGCTGCTTGGTAGCTGCTGCTGCTGCTGCTGCTGCTTGGTAGCTGCTGCTGCTGCTGCGTGGTAGCTGCTCTGCTGCTGCTGCTGCTGCTGCGTGGTAGCTGCTCTGCTGCTGCTTGGTAGCTCCTGCTGCTGCTGCTGCTTGGTAGCTGCTGCTGCTGCTGCTTGGTAGCTGCTGCTGCTGCTGCTGCTGCTTGGTAGCTGCTGCTGCTGCTCCTTGGTAGCTGCTGCTGCTGCTCCTTGGTAGCTGCTGCTGCTGCTGCTTGGTAGCTGCTGCTGCTGCTTGGTTGCTGCTGCTGCTGCTGCTTGGTAGCTGCTGTTGATGCTGCTGCTGCTTGGTAGCTGCTGCTGCTGCTGCTGCTGCTGCTGCTGCTTGGTAGCTGCTGCTGCTGATACTGCTGCTGCTTGGTAGCTGCGGTTGCAGCAGCAGGAGCTTGGTAGCTGCTGTTGATGCTGGGTAGCTGCTGTTGCTGGGGCTGCTTGGTAGCTGCTGCTGCTGGGTAGCTGTAGCTGCTGCTGCTGCTGCTGCTTGGTAGCTGCTGCTGCTGCTGCTGCTTGGTAGCTGCTGCTGCTTGGTAGCTGCTCCTGCTGCTGCTGCTGCTGCTGCTTGGTAGCTGGTGCTGCTGCTTGCTAGCTACTCCTGCCGCTGCTTCTGCTGCTGCTTGGTGGCTTCTGCTTGCTGCTGCTGCGGCGGTTGCTGGGGTGGTTGTGTGTTGCCATGTGTTGGCTGTGTTGGGGTCGTATTGGGGGGGCGCCTGTTGGCACTCTCCTTTTCCCTTGGCCATGGCATGTTGCGATTCCCGGCCAGGCTTTTGCTGCCTAAAGAGCCCCAGCGTTGTTTATTTGCCTAGCTTTCGCCACCCCCCCTCTGGGCCACAAGTGTTTCGTCAGTTCCCCTGCCGGCTCTCCTCGCTGCCCTCATGGGGCTGACCCAAAGGAATCCTTTAAGCGCCCTGCTAAGGGATGCTAAGGGAACCAGGGAGAAGGGAAACACTAAACATCACTAAACAGTACATACCAAATAGCACAAACATGTGTAACCTTTAGACCTATGCGGAAAGCGTGTCAGCAGTACCCGCGCGTTTTGTTTGATCCATACTCATGAGTCATGACATGACCTGTTACCGCAGGGCCTGTTCAGACGTTCGGCTCGCCCAATGTTTCCCTTTAGAAAATCTTTCTGTTGGGTTCGCAGCTGATGTATTCATATACATTCCAAGAACGAATCCTGCAAAGCAGTGCTCAAAAGGAATGAGGTCAAGAGCACAGAGCGTCCAGATCAATTTTTCTCGGATGTGTCGTCCGGGGCGCGTTGGTGGGATCAAGAACATTGAAAGCATTTGCTGTTTGTTTGCTGTTTGAATAGTTTTGTCCTGGCCTAGAAGGTTGGGCTTTGTTCACTTTGTTGAACTTCAAGCCTTGCAAAGTGGAACGGCCCATGCTGTGATGGAGACTTGGTTGATTATAAGTCCAACAAAGTAAGTTCCCCCCCAAAAAATAGTAGGAATCAAATCATTAGAGTGACCTATGCTGCATCCTGTTTCTAGAAGCGTCCTACTTAATAGCTACCAGCTACCTCTCTACCCCTCTTCTAGCGCCTACCCATCGGGGGGGAAAACGTCCCAAGTAGTGGCTAGTAGCAGCGGCTACTCACCCCTACTTTTTGCTCTACCCCCCAGGACCTCGTTTGGTCGTTGAACCATCCAACCTGCGAGTCCGGACTTCACAGCTTCAGTACAAGCTGGACTTCACAGCTTCAGTACAAAGCTTGTCGCTCGTGTTCTGAATGAGGTCTGGTGGGAGCTTCGTTTAGACAAGCATGGACGGCACAAAATCTCCTCGCGGCCTGGCCGTGAAGAGAATCATTGGCCACAGGCACGAAGCTTGGCACAGTTGCAAGATGAAGAATGCTTGGTAACTTCTTGGTGGGTCGTGGTTTGGCTTAGGTGTTTTGGCCTGTTCACGCCGAAGCACATGTCTCTGATGAGGTCCAGCGTTGTTTCAACATGTTTCATACCGGTCCAAGCGAAGGTTGACACCTTTGGAACTTGCCAAGGAAGCGGAGCCGGCGGTTCTTCCAAAGCTCGGGAGAACTTTGCTTGCTTCAGAGTGTGTGGCACTCCAGCTTCGACTTCTTGAGGCGTTGCACTTGCATCGCTGCATGCGTTGCTTGTTCCTTTGCAGTGCTTCAGTGGATGCGGAGAAACTGCGTAGTGCGCACTATAGTTTCTGCAGGACCGTTTGGAGTGCAAGCCACGCACGTTTGGCCCCAGCAAGGTGCCAAAGTCGAAGGCGCGTCCCAGGCTTCACACACCACCGAACAAGATGCCTTGCTTTAAGAGTCGAATGTGCCTCTCAGTTCAAGATCTCCAGTGGAGATTTGCAATGGCTAAATGATGCACAAGTATGGGAATGCACAGCGCTCAGATTTTGAGCCTCAAGTTGTTGGGGCGCACTTTTTGCAATTTTTGGTCATTCTACTGTGTTCATCTATTGATTTTGTGCTCGTATATTTTATCATTCTCGTTCTTCATCCATGTCTAGTGAATATTTTCTCCTTCAAGGTTTGAAGCAGCAGTGCCAAGCTATCAAAGTTTATGGCTATGGTGCCCTGCTTGATGGATCAGCCTTGGTACAACCTGCGGCTTTGCTGACAGCAGCATCATCTCTGGACAGGGATTGGTGTGTCAAAACATGCAGCTTCATGACACATTTGCAAATTAAGTGGCAGGATCAGTCATGCATACAATAGGAAACGTCTCGTGGTTTAAAACGAAACACCGTGTGCGCTTTTTGATTGCAGTGTTTCGGCTTCAGCTACATGAGCCACCGGGAACGAGATTGCACGTGCCCTGCGTGCATTGCTCTTGGACGGGTGGCCAGTGTGGTTGTTGACGAAGAGACCAGTGAAGAGCACAGAGCGTACATAGCAAAGGTTTTGGAACGCTCCTACACCAAGATCCTCGAGAAGGGCCTGGAACTCTTGCGGAAAGAGCGTCAGGCTACTGACGAGGGTTCTTCGGGAGTGGCCTGCCACGCTATTCCTGGATCCGAGCAGCAAGGCGAAGAGGGGAAGGCTCCTGGTGGAGGGGAGCCGTCGGGAGTGGGAGAAGTTTCCACTCCTGGTACAGGGTCAGCTGAGCCACCAGCTGATCTTCGTGAGAAGGTAAAAGAGGAGAAGACAGAGGTTGAAGAGGAAACCCCAAAGAAAAAGAGGAGGGGAAAGAGACGCGTCAAGGAGGAAGAAGAAAAAGCCACTGAGGAGGAAGGACAGCCCACAGGTCAGGAAAAGGAAGCCGAGGAGACTGAGAACAAGGACACGGCCGCAAGTTCAGGGACTCCTGGAGCAGTTACAGAGGGAGTCGACAAGCCTATTGAAAAAGATCATCGCCTACCGCTTCCTCGAAAAGGTCCGAAGCCGAGTGCAAACCCAGCCATTACCCTGAAGGAGAAGAAGACCAAGGAAGAAGGCAAAAGTGAGGAGTGCGAGGTGCCGCCCCTGAGATTGAAGCCCAAAGCAAAAGGAAGGCCCAGCAAATCGAGGAGTCGGTCAGAAACCTGGGATAAGAAGGACAAGAGGAAGAGGAGGAGTCCGAGCCCTTCAGGATATTCGCGGGGGGGAGACGCAGGTGTCTCCTCGACTACGCCAGCAGAGGCTGTTTGGGAAGAGGAGGAAGGCGGAAGGCCTCCTGGTGATTGGGAGGCCAGACCTGAGATCGTGCGGAGACCCAAATCGCCAGACCATCCTCCACCCTTGCCTCGTCAACCCAACAGAGGACAGTTGTGGATCGGACCAATCCGGGCCTACAAGAACAGACCAGCCCCCAAGAAAAACAAGGGGAAGAAGAAGGAGCTCAAGAACGAGAGGTATTGGGAACGGCGTAGGCAGCAGCTCTGGGAAGATCGACAGCGAGGCGGCAGAGGGTATCGCCGCCGGTGATGCCCCCGAAGAGACGACCAGCTGCCGCTGGAATCAGGGCAGGAGTCTTGAGGAGGCCCGCGGCTGCAGTCGTCAGAGGAGGAGACGGTTGGACAAAGTCGGGAGACGTGAGCAGTGACACTCTCCTGGATTGGAGATGGACGCACCTGAGAGGACGGTATTGGGACGAGGACGTCGAGGTCATTGGCAAAGTGGTGGAGGTCAAGAGGAAGGAGACAGGCAGAGAGATCATCTTGAAGGCCAGTGGTACCCCATCAGAAAGCCTCCTGAGGAGTTTGAGTGGGGTGCAAAACAGGCATCTACGCGTTCACCTTTGCGGCGACCCATGCGCAGCTCTCGTGTGGGAAGAAGGATATCTCCATTGCAGCCAGCTTCAAGAGGTCGATCGAGAGGGCATAGGATGGAGTCAAAACCTCGAGGCGGCGGTGGAGAAAGAGGACGACGACGAGCTCAAACAATTACGAACCAGTGCAGAGGAGTTGCGACTACGCGGAAAGGGAGTTGGAGGACAAGTGGAAAAGGAGACGAAGAAAAGAAAAAGAAGAAGAAACGAAAGAAGATGGCTTCCCGCATCCAAGCCAAGAAGAGCTTGGACAGTCTATTCGGTTCCACCGGGCTAGATCCAAAGGCAGAGATCAGGCGGAAGGTGAAGAAGAAGGCCAGAAAGGTAGCCAGGCGAACCAGGAACAAGAAAAGGGGAAGTTCGTCATCGGCAGGAAGCAGCAGCTCCAGCTCGAGTCCCGAGAGTTGCGAGGTGGACGACAAGGATTTGTTCGAACCTGCCACAGCATCGACTCAGCGGGTTTGGAGACAATGCCCGGGAGCGCTCACGATGAGTATGATCGCAGAAGCAAAGGAAGCACTCCTCAATCAGACTGGCACTCCAGGGGAACCTATGGATGGAGTGGTGCCGGCCATTGTCACCCAGTACGTGCGGCAAATCCTGATGCCCAACATGAGTGGTCCAGTGGCTCGGGAGTCGCACCATTGGGGACTCCTGTTGGATCTATTGTTGACTGGTCAAGTGGCGGCTGCAGCGGATCTGGGTGCACAACGCCTCAAGGCATTGGAGGGTCACGCCAAGGGCATGAAGCCCGAGCTCTTGAGACAACTATAGACCTGATGGCCCAGGAGCGGCCATCCTTGAGCAGTACAACAGAGATCATGAAGGCAGGGCGACAAGCAAACGAAGAGCAGAAGGTGCTTCAGAAGGCAAGTCTGCGAGAAGGTCAGGAGAGAGGAAAGGGTCAATGGACAGACTGGCGAGTGAAGGGCGAGAAGGGCGACAAGGGCGGCAAGGCAGACAAGGGCAAAAAAGGAAAGGGCGAAGGTAAGAAGAAAGCAGCTTAGGCGAGAACCGGGCGACAGTGGGCGGCAAGAGGACAAGACTCAGTGGCAAAGCAGAGGTACATTGGAGGGAGGGGCCAAGTGGCGAGGCCTCTCCTGGTATTTGGGGCGAGAACTCTATGAGGAGAGACACTCCTGGAGCCGCCCAAGCTCCTGGTGGCAGGGAGCAAGGGAGTGGGCAAGGGAGTGAGGTTTTTGAAGGGGCTGAGCAGATGAATGAGCTCCAGCCGAAGCAGTTTCAAGAATTTGAGCATGACGTGATTCTTCAGCAGCCCCCCCGGCCGAGGGGCACAGGACTTCTTCGAGGAGACACTGGCACCGAGGTTGGAAGTGATGAGCTGCGCCGTACAGAGCAGGGCCCTATGGCTGAGGTGTTCCGCAGGGCCTTGGGCACTATGTTATGTGAAGACAAGATGCGCTCCAACATGGGCGAGGCTAGAGCGATTCGTGAGGATTTGCTGCCTTTGCCCGTGCCCCAGGACGACCTGCTGCTGGCGACGATGGTAGCTGGCTTGAACCATTTGGGAGGCTGGAAGAACCCGCCTCCTGGAAGTGTCACCTCAGACCTCCAGCTCTTGGCAGTAAAAAATTTGAGCGAGCTTTTGCACAGACATGGCATGTGGACGGTTGAGGAGCATTTGATTTGTTTTGACGATTTCTTTAAGAGAAAATCAGTCGACTATCTGGGAGACGAAGTGAAAGTGGCGATGACGATGAACTGGCAAGCTATTTGTCCCCCACAATTAGGGTGCCTAGAGCTTGAACGTTTTTGTCGGCTGGGTACCCTCGAGTATGTGTCAAAGTTCGAAGAGTTCTTGTTGCCCCCCGAAGATTGGAAGTATGTGAAGCCGCCCCGGGTTATGGTGGAGAAAGATGGGTGGCCGGAACTTTGTCAGGGACTTGTTGCGCGAAACGTCTGCGACATTATGCCTGTTGAAGAACTTTGTCACGTGGAGGGGAGACCGTTGTTGAATGGCATGTTCTCCGTAGGAAAGGGCGAATTCAAGAATGGCTTGGAGACACAGAGGCTCATTATGAATCTTATACCAGTGAATTCCTTGTGCCGATCGCTAGCGGGCGATATAGGGACACTCCGGGAATTGCGGGACTGTCTGGGTTCCTCCTCGAAGCGGGGGAGGTGCTCCTCAGCAGTGAGGATATCCGGTGCTTCTTTTATTTGTTTGGGGTGCCTGAGCACTGGAAGAAGTATTTGGGGTTCAACAAATTGGTACCCCCCGAGATGGTTCCTCTTCAGTTTGCTGGAAAGGATTGTGTCTTGGTGGCAAAGGTTCTGCCTATGGGCTTTCTAAACAGTGTTTCAATTGCACAACACGTCCACAGGAACGTGGTGAAATGGGCAGCTATGGCAGGCATAGGTGGAGAAAACGAAATGCGAAAGGACAAACCCCTTGGTTCTGGAAGCTCCTTGTATAGAATCTACCTTGATAACTTTGACTTCCTTGAAAAGATGGAGAAGGGCCTGGCCGACCGAATCAAGGGAGAAGTTGCAGACCCCGTTTTGCAAGTGCGTGCTCAGTACGAACAGTTGGGACTGCCGAGACACCCCAAGAAGTCGGTGCAGAGGGCGCTTCAGGGTGAAGTCCAGGGGGCTTGGCTGGATGGTGAGGCTGGTTTTGCTGTTCCCGAACCCGAGAAGGTCCAGGTGTATTGCAAGTTGGCTGATGAGCTGATTAGGAGGGGTCAGTCGACCCTGCGTGAACTGCAGGTGGTGTGTGGAGGTTCCATTTACATCTGTATGTTCCATCAGGCGCTGCTGGGTTGCTTGAATGAGGTGTTTGTACACATGCACCGGTTTGAAGGTGAGGCGCCGGTAGTCCGGCTGGCACTGCCTTGGAAGGTTAAGGTTGAGCTTTCGAGGTTCATTGCTTTGAGCCCCCTGGGTCAGATGGACTTTCGTGTGTTGGTGGACGGCGTGGTGACCTGCTCTGATGCTTCGACGCAAGGGGGAGGAGCTTGCTCGTCCATTGGGCTGAGCGACTATGGGCGTGCAGCCTTGTGAACACAGAGGTGAGGGGTGATGTGCCGGAGGCTCATGACTTGGTCCAGGTCCTGACACAGTAGGTCTTTTTGATGGGATAGGTGCTCTTCGGGTGGCCTGTGACGTGCTTGGACTGCCGATGGCAGGACATGTTAGCATCGAAAAAGATCCGAAAGGCCGCCGTGTGGTCGAGAGTTATTTCCCAGAGACGGAGTTCTTTGACGACGTCGTCACCTTTGGCCAGAAGGAAGTTGGCGAGTTGGCGTTGAAGTACAGCTACGTGGGTGTAGTTCTTGTAGGGGCTGGACCCCCGTGCCAAGGAGTCAGCGGTCTGAACGCTGATCGAAAGGGTGCCGTTCGGGATGAGCGCAGCTCTCTTTATGTG